AATATTTCACATAATCTCATTGGTTTTTATAAAATGGAATCATCTTCTAGATATTGAGTACAAATCTATGAATGATTATTTTTAATATTGGATGTAATGTTAGGCGGTACATAATGAGTACCCAATAATAGCAGTAGCTCCTCACTGGAGGTCTTGTTTATCAGATGCTGTAGCCACATTCAGACTTGTAATTTACTGACTGAAATTTACTCACCCAAGATCTCTGGATTCCTAATGGACAGGCAGATAAACGAAACATGTTGCCTTATTTTCTCTCCTTCCCTCCCTCCCATCTTTCCTTCCTTCCTTCCTTCTCCCTGCCTTTCATACTTCCTTCTGTCCATCATCATTTTTATGCCACTCCTCTTGATCTTTAGCTGTATTTTTAAGACAAACCTGAAATTAGAATAACAGTCACCATGGCTACTCCGTGTAAATGCTAGAAGCAAGTCCTTTTAGAGAAAGAGAAGCACCTATGTACTGATGGGTGTGAGGCACTAAAAGGCAATTCAAGAACTATGAATTTGAGGCAGTATTTTTGGGAGTTTATTTTCTTCTCCAATAAAAATGAACATATTCAGGGTAATTTATTGAATAAGGTTATTCAAAGCTGACAGTAGCTTTTATTTTTACAAGTTTGCAAATTTTTTTATTTTTCAAAAAATTGTAACGTTGTCTGAACTAATGAATGTGGGGAAACTGTGATAGGGCAGAAGCATTAACATAGAAGCCTGACTGATATTGGATATGTGAAGAGAAGGAAAGGAATTGAGTCGTTTTATTGGCCTTATATTTCATGAACCAGATGCAGTGGAAAAATGGAGAAAACATATAAAGAAGTATAAAATGAAGAAAAATATGGGGCCGGTGCCGCTGCTCACTAGGCTAATCCTCCGCCTTGCAGCGCCGGCACACCGAGTTCTAGTCCCGGTCGGGGCGCCGGATTCTGTCCCAGTTGTCCCTCTTCCAGGCCAGCTCTCTGCTGTGGCCAGGGAGTGCAGTGGAGGATGGCCCAAGTGCTTGGGCCCTGCACCCCATGGGAGACCAGGAGAAGCACCTGGCTCCTGCCTTCGGATCAGCGCGGTGCGCCAGCTGCAGCGCGCCGGCCGTGGCGGCCATTGGAGGATGAACCAACGGCAAAGGAAGACCTTTCTCTCTGTCTCTCTCTCTCTCACTGTCCACTCTGCCACTCTGCCTGTCAAAAATAAAAAAAATAAAAAAATAAAAATATGAAGAATAAAATATTCAAGGAAGAATTTACATTATATTTACATATAATATCAAGAAAAGATAAAATGGAGAAAAGATATAAATATGTAACAATGAGTATATGAACTAGTAAAACATGTTTTTAAGGTGTAAAATATTTTACTTCTAAACTGTAAACTGAGATTCCCCAAATTGGGAGACTTGTGATAGGTTGGCTAAATACTATAATGATAATTAAATACCATCACCCCAGATAAATCACCTCACTTTAAAAATCCTTAAATATACATGCTCAAAGTCTATGGATTTACTTTAAAAATAATCCAATTGAATAACCCGGTATGGATTGATTTCTCAGTTATATTTAAAAAGACAATAAAATACTACCTTCACATAAGTGCATCAAGTAGGCAAAGAAAAGGAAATACCAGAAAAATCTGGAAAAAATTGCATGAAATACATGTGATTCTTTGAAAACTATTTTAAGCATACTTTATATTTTCTGCCTCATGAGTGAATTTATAATGAAAAATTATATATGTTGACACATTTATTTTTTCTTTTTTGAGTCTGACTCCTTTTAGTTAAAATGATGCATACTGGCCAGCGCCGCGGCTCACTAGGCTAATCCTCCGCCTTGCGGCGCCAGCACATTGGGTTCTAGTCCCGGTCGGGGCGCCGGATTCTGTCCTGGTTGCCCCTCTTCCAGGCCAGCTCTCTGCTGTGGCCAGGGAGTGCAGTGGAGGATGGCCCAAGTGCTTGGGCCCTGCACCCCATGGGAGACCAGGATAAGTACCTGGCTCCTGCCATCGGATCAGTGCAGTGCGCCGGCCGCAGCACGCTGGCCGTGGCGGCCATTGGAGGGTGAACCAACGGCAAAGGAAGACCTTTCTCTCTGTCTCTCTCTCTCACTGTCCACTCTGCCTGTCAAAAAAATAAAAAAAAATTAAAAAAAAAATAAAATGATGCATACTTATAATAAAATGTCAAATAACACTCAACAACAGGGATGACAAAACACCTCAATTCCCAAGTGGGTAGAGGGCTTGGATAGGCATTTCTCCAAAGAAGATGCACAAATGGCCAATAAGGCACATGAAAAAATGGTCAACATCATTGGTGCTAGGGAAATGCAATCAAAATCACGTGAGATACCACTTTATACTCCTTTGTATGGCTATGACCTAAAAAACTGTGGAAAATAACAAATGCTGGTGAGCATGTGAAAAAATTGAAATCCTTATACTTTGCTGGTGACAAACAAAAAATGATGCAGCTGTTCTAAGTGGTTCTCAGATGGTAATGGTTATACAATATTATGAATGCACTTAATACCACAGCAATGGACACTTCAAAATGGTTAAATGGAAATTTTTATAGTTTATATTTACCATTTACATTTTTATATTTATATGAAAGGTAGAGTCACAGAGAGGCAGAGGCAGAGAGAGAGAGAAAGAGTTCTTTCATCTGCTGGCCCACTCCGTAGATGGCCATAATGTCTGGAGCCACACTGATCCAAAACCAGGAGCCCAGAGCTTCTTCCAGGTCTCTCACATGGGTGCAGGGGCCCAAGGACGTGGGCCATCTTCCACCGCTTTCCCAGGCCATCGCAGAGAGCTGGATCAGAAGTGAAGCAGCTGGAACTCGATCCAGTGCCCATATGGGATGCAGGCACTGCAGGCAGCGGCTTTACCCACTACACCACAGCGCAGGCCCCCCACATGTTATTTTTATTGTTTACATTTTGCCACATAAAAACAACATAAAGTAACAAAGCAGACTGCAAAGAGATCAACAAACTGTCTTAAGTTGAATCTTCTAGAAATAATGTGTTAACAGTAGTCATTCTAATACCTTATTCTGTGTTGTGAGATATTTCAGAAGTTATCCTCTTAAAAAAGTATAGATAATATGTGCCAGCGCCTGCAGTGCCAGCATCCCATATGGACTCTGGTTCGAGTCCCAGATGCTCCACTTTCAATACAACTCTCTGCTGTGGCCTAGGAAAGCAGCAGAAGATGACCCAAGTCCTTGGGGCCCTACACCCACATGGGAGACCAGGAGGAGACTCCTGGCTCCTGGCTTCGGGTCATCACAGCTCCAGCCATTGTGGCCAATTGGGGAGTGAACCAGTGGGTGGAGGACCTCTCTCTGTCTCTACCTCTCCTTTTCTGTGTAACTCTTTCAAATAAATAAATAAATTTCTAAAAAAAGTGTAGATAATAATAAAAGCAACACCGATGAGCATGGGGATTATGTGTTGTGAACTATGACCCAAGAGCCAGCAGGAGACCTGTGTGCCTGTCGAGCTAAGCAGCCTGTGTGGGAGCCACACTTGGAACAAGATGATCGCATCTAGCCAACCTGCACAAAAAGTGATGACCAAATGAAGCTGGAACCGAGGAAAAGCCACTGGGCACATCATTAAATGTGTCTGTGAGAAGCATCATTGTCCTCTGCTTATGTTTTCTGGTAGAACTATTTCTCTTATTTTGGCCTACTCCCAAATGGTATTGTTTTCTTCTGTTGTATTTCAAATATGTCTGGATATTACATTATAGAACAATATTGCCATCATTTGCTGTTATGTCTCACTCAGATACATTTTTTCAAGAAAAGACTTCGTTACCGCATCGCGCTGAATGGCCTGGTATAACCAATGAAGTCTGGAAAATCAGGGGGCGCTTGGTGCAGTTTGAGTCGTTACTGCCTTCCCTGTGACCTCAGGCTAGGACAGCACCACGAAGCAGAAGTAGCAGCGGACAGTTTTTCAGGAAGGCAAAGTGAATACAAAGAGAGGGACTACCCCCTAACGTGGCCCAAATGCACTCTTACCATTGGTTTCCTGTTCCCTATCCTCTCAATTTTCAATACACACATTATTTAACAATTATCAAACGTTGGGATTCTAACCTGGCTCTACCTTTTCCCAGTTGTGGGACCGTTTAACCTTTCTCAGCCTCAATTTCCTTATCTGTAAAACAGACCTACTAGCTGGGCCTGCTTTATAGGTTTGTTATGAGAGTTTATGGAAAAAAATGTCTTGGAACAATGCTTGCATATTATTAAGTGCTGAATAATTCAAATTTATTTAAATAAAGATAATGTTTAAAATTATTTAAAATGATTTTTATCATTGTTGTGTATTTGGTCTTAGGATGAATATTATGGGAGCTGGTAACATATTTTTCTTCCCTATCTTAAAGAATTTATTTGGTAATAATACTGATGCAGTTTTCCATGGATGTGAAGTCCTAGCCAAACGGCCCTCCTCGCTCCCTCACTCTGAGAGATAAATCCTGATAAAATTTTTGTAATAAACTGTAAATTCCACTAGAATAAGAAGACGCACCAAATGGAAGACTTCAGTGAGAAGAAAGGACCTGACCTGAGCCTTGGGAGATACGATCAGCGAAGGCTGGGGAACGAAACCCTTCCTGCTCACCATGCACCAGGCACTGGACCGTATCCTCCACGACCTCTCTCTGCGTTCCTTGGGACAGCCCTGTCAGGGTCACAGAGCTAGTACTTGCTGAATCAGGGATCTGATTCTCTTCCCTAAGGCCTTTGTTATTTCTGTGCCATGTAGGGCATTTCATAATTCTATGTCTTGGCTAGTTGGATGCTTCAAAATATCCCATTAGTTTTTAATGGACTGTGTGTGTGTGTGTGTGTGTGTGTGTGTGTGATTTTTTACCCTTAATTTTCTTATCTGTGTATATGCCAAATTGTATGTTTGCTTTTTAATTTAGATTTTGCTAATTTCTGCTTTTCATAATTCAACTCAGGTGTCATATCTTTACTGCGGCCCCTTCTTCTGGATGTCGTCCCTTCAGTCCAACAGACCGCGGCGCTGGCTCTTGGGAGACTGGCCAATTACAATGAAGACCTAGCAGAAGCCATTGTGAAGGACAACATCCTTCCACAGCTTGTTTATTCGATGACAGAGCAGAATGTAAGAATTTTGGTTTCTTTTTGTTTTTGTTTGTTTGTTTGTTTGTTTGTTTTCAGAGGCAGAGGCAGAGGCAGAGAGCGCTCTCCTCTGCTGGTTTGTGCCCTAAATAGCTACAAGGGTCAGAGTTGAGCCAGGCCAAAGCCAGGAAATGGGAACTTAATCCAGATCTCTCACATGGGTGGCAGGAACCCAATTACCTGAGCAGCCAGCACTGCCTCCCAGAGTTTGCATTAACAGGAAGCTGGAGTCAGGAGCTAAAGCTGGTAGTTGAACGTAGGCACTCTGATATGGGATGAAGGTGATTCAACTGGTGTGTTAACTGCTAGGCCAAATACCTGTCCCAGAATGTAACAATTTTTAAAATGTATGTTTTCTATTTTCGATTTTAAAAAAAATTTAGTAGTGTAGGCACAGCTGCAAGCTTGTAGGTGTTAGAATTATTAGGATGTTAATACAACCTTAAATTGCATGATATCTTGGTGGTATTTTGCTTTTGGGCTGACATGTAGCTTTATCTCCATTGTTGTCCACATAAGAATAAAGCAGATTTAAAACTTTTTAGGAGGTTATACAGAACGTGGTATTTCTGTATGTGAGAGTTTTAGACAAAGCTGTAGGGTCTGTCTTAGGGAGGTATGTTGGGCCCTACACAAAGAAATGGTCGTTTTCGGGACTCCTTGTGTGCAGGTGAAATCTGGTTAGGGGCAACAGCAAAAGAGGCCTTGGAGCAGGGAGCAGAGAAGCAACCTAAAGGAGAGAAAGAATGTGATAATGGAAGGCGTGATGAAGCATTTTTTACCAAGTATACAAGCACGCCCGCTCTTATAAGCACTGCCTAAAGGTGCTCAGATTTTTCCCCCCACTCTCTGGCACCGCTCTGTATTTCTGTACAGAACCGCCTCCTTGGTTTCCATGATCATTAAGGACCTCCTGTAAGGCAGGTCATGGCTTGTGCATTCTATTCTGCTAGTTTATCATAACCTAGAACTATATCTTTCTTGACATAGCTTTGAGATTAAATCCCTGTTTGGGTATTAAAAAGACAACTGAAAAACTCGAGAAGGATTTGAACACACATTTCTCCAAAAGAATATATACAAAAGACCGATAAGCATATGAAAGATAATCAACAGCATCATTCATTAGGAAATGTACATCAAAAGGTAGTGAGATATCATTTCTTCACACTTATCAGGATGACTATAATTAAAAAAAAAAAAAACACTTTAGCGGCTAATCCTCCGCCTGTGGTGCTGGCACACCGGGTTCTAGTCCCGGTTGGGGCGCCGGATTCTGTCCCGCTTGCCCCTCTTCCAGGCCAGCTCTCTGCTGTGGCCAGGGAGTGCAGTGGAGGATGGCCCAAGTGCTTGGGCCCTGCACCCCATGGGAGACCAGGAGAAGCACCTGGCTCCTGGCTTTGGATCAGCACGATGCGCCAGCTGTAGTGTGCCGGCCACGGTGGCCATTGGAGGGTGACCTTTCTCTCTGTCTCTCTCTCTCACTGTCCACTCTGCCTGTCAAAAAAAAAAAAAAAAAAAAAAGAAAGAAAGAAAGAAAGAAAGAAAGAAAAAAAGGAAAAAATAGCAAACAAGTGTTGGTGAGGATATGGGGGATGTGGGGAAACTAGAACCCTCATCCACTGCTGATAAGAATGTGGAATGGGATAGGTTCTGTAAGAAGCAACTAGGCAGGTCCACAGCCCTTAAATGTTGCTATCGGACTCAGCAGTTCCTCTCCTAATTATGTATCCAAAAGAATTAAAAATAGGTGCTCAAATAAAATGTGTAGACGTTCATAGCCACGTTATTCACAATAACCCAAAGGCAGAAGCAACCCAAGCCCAACAGGTGAATGGGTGAGTGAAATGTTTATCCAGAAATCAAACAGAATAAAGTGCTATTAAATACTACACAGATGAGCCCTAAAAATGCTGTGCCAAATGAGAGAGGCCGGACCCACAGGGCCACAGACTGAAAGGCTCCATTTATGTGAAATACCCAGAATATGCAAATCCAGAGAGGTGAAGCAGACTAATGCTTGCCTGGGGCCAGGCAGGAAGGGAAAGGGGAGTGACTTGACTCACCAGGGGTAGCTTGTTGGAGCAGTGGCAACATCGTGGAACTAGGGATGACTACAATGTGGTGAATGTACCACATTTCGTGGAATTTAAAATTGTTAGAAGGATAATTAGGGTTATGTGTATTTTACCAGAATAAAAAAAGATAAACATAAACATAAAATAAACATAAAAATAAATCCTAATTGTTTGGAAATTTGCCTTGGTTTTATGGATTGGAGGATCATCTGCTAATACTTGTTATGGCTCTACAAGGAGTCACAGAAATTTTTATTTTTCTTGTGGATACTCCATCTGTTGTTGGACTTTCTTCCTCCTAGGCTCTGAGCTGTTGCCTTTCAGAGCAGGATCTGTGTTTTGGTATCCCTTGTAGAAGGGTCTTAGAAGTCTTCTAAGTGGGAATGTGTGTCCACAAGTTGTAAAGGGACCAAAACAAAGTGTCTGAGGGCAGAAAGGTGAAGTGGCATGAGAATGTAAACATTATTTACATCCACCCATTAGCCTTAAGTCATTTCTCCTAGGGTACTCACTCAATCTCTTTACTCTGTACCAAGTCCTGTGGTTTTGCTTTTTTTAAAAAAGGCGATTATTTTTGTGAGAAGTAGGAGAAAAGAGGGTTAGGATTTGGGGGAAAGTGATATGGAGGATGAGAGAAAATGAGATAAGCAAGTGTGAATTAAAGGTGCTGAAGCTAGGAGTGACTACTGATATCCATAACTTGTTGTCTCTCGGTTTGATGATTCTGCAATATGAAAAGTAGCATGAACTTAAGGTAATGACAAGAAATGTGGCACCATGACTTTTCTGTCTATGGAAAGCTACTTTGAAACTCTACTTGGATTTTTATGATAAGTTAGTGGAAATTTGGTTATTGACATAATTTAAGAAACAAAAATATAAGAATACTAACAGCATGTTTCCTATGTTATCAACATATATTAAATTTTTGGAGGTGTTAAGGTATACTTGATGAATTTTTTCTCTCCTGTAACTTTTATGTATCAACATTTTGACCTAAGCAAGTAAAATGCTTTCAGAATAGGTATAGTTCCTTAGTCACTTTTAAGTAATTAGTGTAAAGAGATAAAAACTCAGAATGTAAAATAGGGAATTCACTGGGTGTTAGTGTTAAAAGGAAATGTTAGGAGGACATCACTAACCAATAAGACAAGTGAATGTTGTAGCCAAATAATTCCTACGCATTTAATTTTTTAGCATGTTTCAGTTTCATTTTCTCCTTCCTTAATTAGAAAAAAATGTACATATAGAAAATTATTATAAATATGAAGACATTTAAAATGCACACAATAATAAGCAATTTGCTTTTACCTTTTTATTTTTTAAAAAGATTCATTTATTTTATTTGAAAGGCAGAGTTACAGAGAGGCAGAGGCAGAGGCAGAGGCAGATGGCTGCAATAGCCAGAGCTACACCGATCCGAAGCCAGGAGCCAGGAACCAGGAACTTCTTCCGGGTCTCCTACATGGGTGCAGGGGGCCAAGGACTTGCCATTTTCTACTGCTTTCCCAGGTCATAGCAGAGAGCTGGTTCAGAAGAGGAGCAGCCGAGACTTGAACCAGCGGCCATATGGGATACTGGCACTACAGGCGACTTTAACCATTATGCCACAGCGCTGGCCTCTGCTTTTACCTTTTTTAAAAAAAGTATTTCTAGAGGGGATTAAATAACTTACATCCCTCTGTTTGAGTAGTTTATTTTCCAGGAAAAGTTTTTAAATGTATCAGGAATGCTTTGACTGTATGTTCATTTGATAATTGGTAGGTGCATCTCAAGACATGGTTGTTACTTGAGGATAATTTGGGACACCAGAAAGATTAGTTGAGGTCATGAGAGGCCTGTGGTGCTCAGAAGCTGAGGGCAAGTAAGGAAAGTGAAGGGGTTGGTTGGCCCTGAGGTCAGCTGCACATGTGCACCAGCTCCCAGGGGTCCCACGATACCTTTCAGTGCAACGCAGATATGCACACTCTCATTATTTTATTATGGATTTGTGAAAAAGTGTTAGTATTTTATCTTATACACTCTCCAAATACACACTTCCCAATAAAACGTTGAAACATGATCTAAAACTTCCCTGGTTTTGAGTTTAGCTACTGAACGAAAGCAGTGGGGGCCATCAAACGGTCGAAATGCCTGCACAGCATGTTTTAGGATCCTTTCCGTCTTTGTCTTCTGTATCCGAAAGCCCCTGAGCCTTATGTGTGTTGATGTCCTTGAGTTTGGTCTCTGGAATCTGGGTTACGGAAGTGTGCCATTCATCGGGGGTTTGTCTGTCTCACGCCTGCAGCGTTTCTACAAGAAAGCAGCTGCGTTTGTGTTCCGAGCAGTTAGCAAACACTCGCCCCAGCTCGCTCAAGCGGTGGTCGACTGCGGCGCGCTGGGCATTCTGGTGATATGCCTGGAAGATTTTGACCCTGGAGTCAAGGAGGCTGCAGCTTGGGCCCTTGGATATATCTCAAGACATAATGCAGGTAATGGAGCATATTTTAAAACAGGATTGTTGCCGCTCGGATTGATTGGGTACATCTGGTTTTGCCTACTAAGCCATCGATGGGCTTTTAATGATGTTTCTGTACATTAGGAGAGAGAAGTTTTGAATGATGGCCAACTTGATTGGATCATATATTTGCAGAAAACCTATGGCCTTCAGTCTTTTTCTTTAATGAGTATAAGGGAGACTGAAAGAAGGGGAGAAAAGGAGAGCAGGCGGCAGGGTGTGGGGGAGTGGAGCAGATTCCCCAGACCTCGGTTAATTGACCCAGTTGGGAAGATTACTGAAGTTTGTCAGCCCTCAAGGGCTCCTGGATGTTCACTGTCACTCGTGAGAGGGTGCTGTAGACCAGCCAGGCGTCCTGTGACATGTGTGCCTGATGTGAGGAGGAAGAGGAGGAGTACCTTCCTCCTCCTAAGAACTGACAGCTGGGGCATGTGGTCATAAAAACCACACAGGGAACAGAATCACCCCCACCACTTTGTAGAAGCTGCTTACGAACAGACAGCCTAAGACGAAAAAACACATGTAAAAATGATCAGCTTTGCCAACGATCACCAAACAGCATGTTAGATCATCAGTGAAAATGTATTTCCCACTTATATTATTTGGAGGTGGGAAGAGTAAGGCAGAACTACAGCCACGTGGCAGAGAGCACAGTGGCATCAGACGATCTGAGGTAGAGTCCTGGCACTAACACTTGGTTGCTGTGTGACCTTGAGCACAGCTTTTAAACTTTCAGAGCTGTAGCCTCTTCATCCACCAACCAAGACTCTTAGTTATCCTGAGAATGATGAGCTCATGCATGTAAAGTGCTGAGACCATACACGCGATCACACATGTCAGGTGCTTGGATATGATAATTAAGGTATTCACATGGACAGGAGAGGTTGTAGAGGCCCTTGTGACAGTGGTGCCCATTGATGTAGGAGCTACAAATTGTGGAAACTTGTGGGAACCAGTTTGACAAAAGGAATGCCAGTCATGAAAGTGTCCATGCTTACTCTCAAAATTTCCTGTTCTGGAAATTCATCCTAAGGAAAGAATCCCACAGCACGTAAAAGCTGTATTCATGCAAATGTTATTGTAGCCTTATTTGTAGTGTCAAAACACTTCAAATATTTGACAGAAATTCAATGGTTAAACTTTGATAGTCTTCTATTGGAATATCATGCAAAAAATTAAAAGGCAATTATGAACCCTACATGGTAACATGGAAAATTGGTTATAATATTAAAAACAGACTAAATTGCATGAGTATATTACTATTATAATAATGTGAAGATAAGTTTTTATGTAGGCATAAATTACAAGGCAGATGTGTTATTACATGGGGTAAATTAAGAATGTGTTTTTTCTTTGTTCCCCAGAATTTACAGTGTGTGTGTCTGTACTAAATATTCACCACTGTGTGTTGAGTAGTTACTGTGTGCCCCATTGTTTCATTTTGGTTGCTACCCTTGGGTGGGTGTGACTCTCATTTTTAAATAGAGGAAGAAACTGGACGTGGAGAGGTTCCTGCAGTTACATTAATGGTGGGATGAGAACTGGAGGCTGTATTTGTCTCCAAAACCTGTGTTAGCTACCACACCATAGGGCCTCACAGAATACTTCCTGAAAGAGTACTGAAGAAAGACTTAAAAACAGAAACAGGAAAGAGCTCTCCCACAGTTATGTTTTTGGTTCTTAAACTGGTGACATTATTAGAGACAAAATAACAAAAAAGCATAGAAGTAACTTGAGGGAAAAAAAAAAACTATTATCATGGCTTAGAATGATTCAGGAGTAACACAATATCAATTAATTAATATATTAATTCCTTAATGTCTAAATTTTGGTTTCCCAAGTAGCATCACCTTAAGGCTATTGCTTAATATGTGTTGACTGAGTAAACTAAGGCGGTGTCTTCAGCCAGAAGCTGGGCACCGTGGGAAGCTGCAGGAGGATATTTAGTAAGGTTTTTTTTGTGTGTCACCAGGACCTGTTAGGGACTGTAGCATGAACATTTCACAGAATGGCTGCCCAGGAGCTCTGAGGGCCACCTGTACAGGTGCACTCCCTCGCAGGTGCCCACAGACAGCCTTTCTGCACTTTCCTTTGCTGAGGCCGGGTCGAGATGATTAGTGCTCATAAACAGGATCTGTCATAGGGATCCCGTTCCAATTTCTTATTATAAACTAGGTCCCACATGGGATTCCCATTGTAATTTCCATATTTCACAGTAGTTAGGGATCTGGGACCCAGAAGCTCCCTGAAGAGATTACTGCATCGATTTCTCCAAAGAAAAGGGAATTGTTGTCTAGGAAGCAGTAGATAGAGTCATTGTTCACATCTGTAACAGAGAAAATGGAGGAATTGCCTCCAAATAACCTGATTTCTTTCTCAATCATTTCCTAAAAGGGGAATATATTGAGGTTAATGAGAGGATATTCATTCAATGTTTTCTTCTTAGACATAAAATATTTGATCGGACAGTTTGAGAAATATAAATCTTAAATAGAGATGCAGAAGAAATAAAGTGTACTTTTACAGGCATTAGAAGGAAGAACTTTCCTGTATAGGAAACAAAAGTAAAATAAGCATATAATAGAAGACAAGAGAAGCCAGTGAGAACTATCTGACTTTGGCTTATTTGAAAAATAAAATTTATAAAAGTTGCTTCTGGGTATAGATCTTAAAGCATTCTACAGGTAACCAAAGGGCACTGGGCACCAACAACCAGAGATTGTGGAGTTTTTCTTTCCCCCCCTGGCACTCTGTACAAATCCTGGTGTTAATCTGATGATTGAACTGCCAGTTATTCAATGCATAGGCTGGTGTTGACCTCCTCTATGTGTTCTGCTACTCAGTGACAGCTGAGCTGGACTCCATCTCTGACTGACTGCGGTCTTTCTTCCTTCCCAGGGCTCTTTCCTGCTCTGCGGAGTTGTTCTATTAACATGTCTGTTCACTTCTTCAGTGTCAGGTCTCTCACTGCTTCTTGGGGATGGTCTTGCCTTTGGAGCTAAAAGGATGCCCTGGAGGCCTGTGCTGGGTAGAAGTGGGAGGGATAGTAGGATTCTGCAGCCTCCAGGCTCCTCTCTCTCGGCTCCTTCCAGGCAGGGTCTCCCAGGCCCTGTGAGTGCCAGCAGCCCAGCAGCGGCAGACAGCGCTGTGGATGGGCACTTGCAGTGACCTCCACATCCTGCTGCCTGACCATCCACCTGCCTGCTTCTCCGTATTGGGCTCACAGACAAGTTTTAAGCATTTGTTTTGGGGACTTCCCAACTTTTACAAATGCTGTCTCTCGGTGGTCAATCAAGCATGCAGAAGAGGAATACATTTGGTAAGGTATCCTACAACTTTTAACCCGCTGTTACAATTGTCATGTGTTGGATGACCAAATCCAAGGGAAGAGCTTCAAGAGTTTATTCTGGTCCCACATCTCTCCAGAGAGGAGCTGCCTGGAAACTACTCACAGCTTGTCAGTCTTCTTACAGTATGAGAAAGAAACGTGTACAAGATCTCATCATTCTTCTTTTGAAGCTCCAGGTCATATCGGGAAGTCTTGCCAGATACCTCTGTTTTTAATCCCTGATGGCTGGTTTCCACATGTGTGACTGCTCTTTCTCTTGTAGACCTGATTTATGTCCAGCTCAGTAGCAGTTAGGAAGGAGATGAGCTAATTTCAGCCAGACATGAGCAGTGCTCACAGAGACTGGCCCACGTGGGCACCACAGAAACACTTAGTAGATTATATCCTGTTTACTAAATCAATAATGCAAGGAAGGAATCAAGACCAAGCTGACCAACTGGGTTGTTTCCTATTTTATAGACAATGATAAAATGATAAAAGGCCAAAGAGCCTTTAAAATTCAGAATTTTTGAAAATATCCCTCTCATGCCACCCAAGTGCAGGTATCAGTAGCCTGAATAGTGTAGAATAGGCTTAGTTAGGAAGAGATAATTTTTTTTCAGCCATACTGAAAACAGTGGTGAAGACACTAAAAGTCTGCTCTCTGGGCATGGGTGTCAGGCACAGAAGCGAAACTGCTGCTTGGGATGTCCACATCTCATATTAGAGTACTGGAGTTCAGTCCTAGCTCTACTCTAGATTCCAGCAGCCTGTCAGTTCTGCACCTTGGGAGGCAGAAGGTGATGGCTCAAGTAGTTGGGTCCCTGCCACCCTTGTGAAGAGACCTGGATTGAGCTCCCAGCTCCTGGCATCACGGTGCAATGGATTAAACCATCACTTAAGATGCCTGCATCCATATCAGAATACCTAGGATCAAGATCAACCTCCAAAGGTTGATCCAGCTCTCTGTTAATACACCTGGGAGTACTGCTGGTGGCCCAAGTGCTTGGTTGGGTTCCTGCCACCTATATGGAAGTCCTGGATGGAGTTCCTGGCTCCTGACTTCAGCTTGGGCCAACTTTGGCTGTTGTGGGAATCTGGGGAATGAACCAGCAGATGGAAGACCTCTCTGTCTCTGACTGTCTCTGTCTGTCTCTCTCTGCTTTTCAAATAAATTTTAAAAAGTTAGCATTTTAAGCTGGCTCCACGGCTCACTTGGCTAATCCTCCACCTGTGGCGCCAGCACACCGGGTTCTAGTCCTGGTCGGGGCGCCGGATTCTGTCCTGGTTGCTCCTCTTCCAGTCCAGCTCTCTGCTGTGGCCCAGGAGTGCAGTGGAGGATGGCCCAAGTCCTTGGGCTCTGCACCCGCGTGGGAGACCAGGAGGAAGCACCTGGCTTCTGGCTTCAGATCAGCTCGGTCTGCAGGCACCACAGCGCCACGCCTGCATCGGCCTCAGGGGAGGTGAACCAATGGAAAAGGAAGACCTTTCTCTATGTCTCTCTCTCACTGTCCACTCTGCCTGTCAAAAAATAAAAAAATAAATAAAAAAGCATTTTAATTATAACTGTTTTATGCTTTACTCAGTTATCTAATTTATTGGTCATTTTCTTTTTAAAAATATTTATTTATTTATTTGAAGTCAGT